TCACTTGAGAGACCACAACATCCCAAAGAGACAAGATATGCACACGTTCGCTGAGTTATGATTGTGGAAGATCTTATGAATGTTTTCATGGACACAAAAGTGATGAATATGGATTTAAAGATGGAGTTCAAAAATGAGATGGCTGTTGACAGCAGTGGGGTTTCAAGAGAGGTATACACTACTTTCTGGGAGCAATTCCTAGAACAATGTGAAGGGGAAGCGGAGCGAGTGCCAAGACTCAGACCTGACTTTTCAGAAGCCCAGTGGCAAGCACTCGGAAGGATTTGGGCAAAGGGACTTATGGACCATGGTGTGATTCCTGTGAGACTGTCAAAGGCTTTTATTTTGGCCTGTATCCTTGGTGTTGATTCAGTAGATAATGCAGTGCTGATGTCATCTTTCTCTAATTACTTATCTGATGGTGAGCGACTTACTGTTGAAAAGGCATTTCAGGGCACACTTGAGGAGAGTGAAAAAGAGGATTTGCTTGATTTGTTCTCACGAATGGGTTCACATTGCCTCCCATCTGAGCAAAACACAAAGGTAGCCATTGAAACTATGGCCCATAAAGCTATGGTGCAAGAACCCAAATACAAAATGGACTTCTTTTCAAGCAGCCTGGCAGATGTGCAGTTGAACCTACCTCATAAAGCTAATGTGCTTTATTTGTATGAGTCAAAAAAACCAACCAACAAAAAGGTGACTGAGATGCTGCAAACAGAATCTGCGGTTCTGTCTCAGAAAGAACAGGCTACATTTAATCACTTGCAGAGATACATCAGGAATGCAGACCAACGCAAGTTGGAAAGGTTTTTGTACAGGGTCTTCTGTTCTTTGCACAGAACAAATTAAAGTAACATTCAATGCTGAAACAGGTTTTGGCAGAAGGCCTGTTGCACATACCTGTGGAGCAATAATTGATGTTCCTTACACATACAGCTCCTACCCAGAATTTAGAACAGAGTTTGATAATGTTTGTTCTTCTAACTTCCTCACAATGGACATAATATAAGGTGAGGTGTCTAACAATGCTAAATGCATAAAGAATGCTAAAGAAGCTTTAGAATCTCCACACTACCTCCTATTGTCATTACGCTATGTTGTTATACAGGTGTCATATTCATATGCATCTGATTAACTTGTGTAATCTATATTTTTGTAAAAATGTATGAAAAGATAATGTGCAAAATCAGAGTTTGTCACATACAGCTGTGAACCAACAGAGTAAAAATCAGATAATCCCCTCTTCTTTACAGACAGAGATTTATAGAGTTTCAGCTGTCTGCTTATTCATATGTGTTTGCTGGACCATGACAGATATGTCTTCATATACAGAGACCCAAAGATTGACACAATGAATGTTTTAGAATTTCTCATTGTGGAATGGTTAAAATGCAGCAGTATTTAAATGCAAACACATTGTACACTGTTGCAACCACTTTTTGATATGTTCATGTCTCTGCTATTTGTGTTCAGGAAGAAGAGACAAATTTCTGGTCACCTGAAAAATTATTGTTACACTTGCAGCAGTGTTACAGTTTATACTGGCTGCCACTGTACATTTTCTTCCCGGATTTGATGTCAGATGTGTGCCACAATATAAAGGCTCAGTTCATGACTGGTTTATTGAGTCAAACTGATGTCACAAGAGTAAATCCAATATATGCAGAATATACACACAATAAATTGAAGTTAAACTTATGAAATGCTTGTTTTTGTATTCATTCATATATATTTACAATTCACCAAAAATTAGCTGTTCATTATTCTTTGATATTGATATAACAGTAGGGGCCTCATCGGGGACAGTGGTTTGGTCAGACAACAGTTTAAATCCTTCACTTAAAAAAACTAATGCATTTACACTATGAAAGTGAAAACATATTGAAACCCTGAGAAGAACCATGACTTGGTTGTTTGGTTAGGATGGCCTAAAAGGTAACCATTTCTTTACATTTAGCTGCACTAACAGTAATCTGAAGTTTGTGAAGACAACAGTCACACATGAAGCTTAGACATGCAGACAAGACATGCATTGTAAGGACATGCAGAGGAGTATACAATAGCATTACTTGCAACACCATTTTTTTATGCTTAATAAATAAATAATGTATTCTAGATTAGTAAATATGGGTGTCTTAAATCTGATGAACCCAACATTGTTTGGTACAGCTTGCACAAAGACAATAATCCTATTGATTTCTGCATAAGTAGGCCAACAGACATCACAACATAATTTTGTAGAATAAGGTAAGCCTCAAAATAAACATCCAATGTCCACCTCTAAACCAGGACATTCCAGCAAATAACCAAAAAAAGACCCCTACACATTAATGCAACACTGTGTATGAGAAAAACAATGAAATAAAAAAGATGGACAGATGGTAATATTATAACAAAATGATATTTTCGCTATGTTTTATTTAAATGGGCAGTACTTATTTAATGACAATTCACAAGACTTTTATGTTAACTATAACATAATATCAAATTACATAGATCATAAAACTGAGGGCAGGGTGTAAATATTACATCCTGGTATACAGGTCTCTGTTGTAGTGTGTTCCATCATCTAATGATAGCAGGTTTGGGCTTTATAATGAAAGGCAAGTTGATCACAGAGAAGCGAGAATAACATCTCTCAAATGTAAGTCTATGGCCTCATATGGGTCTCTTGGATAAACCAGGTGTGATTCTGCCATGATGATGTTGCATATGTCATACACGTCTTGATCGCATGGAACACTTTGACGAAAAGTGCATGCAGCTCTGCACATTTGCAGATCTCCATCATCCACAATAGAGAGGTAGTCCCTGGTTCCACAGAGCTCTGGCAGTGCGTACATGATGCCGGGCTTCCAACTTGGCTCATTGGTGTTTTTTGATGGCCTGATCATGTGTAAAGACCACACCTCTGCTGTCTCATCCAAGTCATCCTAGAATAGAAAAAGATTTTTAGCCTTCTTACAGTTAGCAAGTTATGCCTCAAAATTACTAATTATTATTAATTACTAATTAGTCATTCTGCAATACAGGTTTTGTAGTTCTTGTACTTTAAATAGTCTTTGTCTTACTTATAGGTAAATGATCTACTTCATTCACACTGGCAATTAATGTATAACCAATCCATTTATAAAAACGTACATTTAAATTGCACGTTTAGCCATCTCCTATGCTTTTATGGCAATTGAGGGGCAATGGAAATAAAGAATAGTGTAAACAGGAAGACAACATTTTGTAAATATATATTTTTGGATAAGGGGTGTCAGGTTTGTAAAAAAAGTAGTTACATACAGTAGCTTAAAAAGATAAGACATGTATCAGCCTATCACATCATCTCACCTGAATTAGCCCCATGCAGGAAAACTGCACAAGGCTTTTGTCCAGAAAGCCTCCATCAAATATTCCGTTATCTTTGAGGTCTGTCAGTAGGGCTATCCAGAACTCAGCACACTGCTTTCATAGAGATCCCCACCAGGATTCTATTCTTTGGTTAGCTGTGCTTGCTCCCTCCAAATAACTGTCAATTATTTGAGGGTGGTTGGAACGCAGAAGACGCTGAAATTCCCACACATGTCCATTTTCCGTGCCAAGGTCTCCTCTCACAACTTGTGGACATCCTTTAAGGCGCTCGACTGCTTCAACATAATACCCTCCAATTACCTTTGGATCACTGTTTGTGGTGTAGGCGTTGAGCCAGATGATTTTTCTAGAAAAGCAAACATATTGCGAGGGAACGCAAAAGTATTGCGAGGGAATGCAAAAGTATTGCGAGGGAACGCAAAAGTATTGCGAGGGAATGCAAAATATATTGCGAGGGAACGCAAAAGTATTGCGAGGGAATGCAAAATATATTGCGAGGGAACGCAAAAGTATTGCGAGGGAATGCAAAAGTATTGCGAGGGAACGCAAAAGTATTGCGAGGGAATGCAAAATATATTGCGAGGGAACGCAAAAGTATTGCGAGGGAATGCAAAATGTATTGCGAGGGAACGCAAAAGTATTGCGAGGGAATGCAAAATATATTGCGAGGTAACGCAAAAGTATTGCGAGGGAATGCAAAAGTATTGCAAAGGAATGCAAAACATATTGCGAGGCAAAGTAGTCCTCAAAAAAAAATTCATAGTCCTCAAAAAAATATTCCTCACTGAGCCCTGGGAGCCACCGTAGACAATAAATAAATAAGGTAATTATTACAAAGGTGAATAAATAAAGAAGCTAATTAAAATAGATATATACATTTATGTCTCCTTGTATAATTTAATTGCTGCCTACATTTATTTATTTCTGAATTTGTCAGGATCAGTCCTCCATACAGTAGAGCAGCAACTGTTAGAATATTAATAGGGTGGTGGAATCTTATTTTTCACTTTTAAAAAATGCCACAGCCTCCTGTTAATATGATTTTCTTGAGACCCTCCTTAGTTACAAGTCTAACACCCTCCCCTCAACAGACCAAAATAAGTAATTATACTGATGCATTTTCATTGATAGATCTTGTTTTGCCACTAACTAAATGAGGTAAAAGCAAAAAAAACTTCAGATGGTTTACCCTGATTTATTGATAGTCCCAATGCTCGCTGTATAAGTAGAATTAGCACTTGCCAAATGTCAGGCAAGCACAATGAGACTATTTATAACCCACACTGCTTTTACAATACATGTCACAAGTCAAGGCTGAAATGAAATATAAATCTGAGTAAAAAAAACAAAACAATAGACTCCAAAAGACAAACATGCCTCCAACTGATCCATGCTGCTCCATGTGTAATAATAATAATAATAATAATAATAATAATAGACAACTACAGTATTTGTGAGCCCATTCATCACAACAATTTTATTAAATGATAATATGTCAATGTTGTGTTTACAGCTTGTTCCACTGGCAACAAGTGGCCCAAAAATTTAAAGACGACCATGTGCAAATGAATGTTAAATGAGTCTGTACAGCTGTGCGAGGTTATCACGTAATTTACTATTGAACAATCAGAGCCCTCTTCTTTGTACAATGTCACAGATTTAATTCAATCAGGGCATGTAAAGTGCACATACACATTCGACTGACATAGACAATTTATCAAAACTAGAAAGCTCTTTTTGTGGTGTTTGTTATCAAACTCATTCTACAACAGCTCTTTATTTTGGGTTGAAAATAGCTCGTAGAAGAAAGGCAATACAGTCCCCAAACACTGAAGCCATGGCTACACATTCACAAAAGGTTTGGAAACATGCACTCATGCTTTACAAATATTGTATGTCATGCTTGCAAGGACCCAGTGGCAACAAGCAATCATCATTTCAAGTATGCTTGAAAGGGAGCAAAACAAAAAATCTGCAGGGAATTAGGCATTCATAATATAAGTCTTTGCCTACTATGCAAATAATGACATTCAAAGTCTGTGGGAGTGTATCACCACTCCCTTTACGTGCTGCCGCTGCTTCTGAACTGCACCAACAAACTACTATAGAAAGGTTGTGTGCGGTTCAGTTGTACCTAAATATAATTTTTAAAAATCATGCACAGATACACAATCATTTGTTTTCCTCTTTTCTTTAAAACTTGCTTTTGTCCATATTCCATTTCTTCATGCAGCTAAGGTTTATGTTTTTGGCTGAAGCTCCAGTGCAGGGAATAAGGTATATAAAAATAGTTCAATATGCAACACTGGGAGATATTAGTTACTTTCTTTCAGCAGCTGGAGGTAAATATGAGTTGGAGGCTCATGGATATCAGTGGTAAACTGAAATTGGACAGATAAAATATTGTTAAACTGTGATGATGTTCATGATATCAGTAGCTGAGGAGGCTGCCAGACAGACAACCCACACAGCTCATTATTTTTAATTTGCAAGAATAACATTGAAACTCAACCTCACACCTGTCATTTCAAATGACTAGAACACAGAAACAAAACACCAGTGTAGCTGTTCAAATCCCAAACTGCCCTCAGACTACTGGTACCATTTCACAGTCCTTGTTTTCTTACTGTTTGAACTGAGATGCTGAGGGTTCAAAAGAGCCATGAGCAGCACCGGCAGACCAAACAAACACGGTACATACCACACTGCATGTCTTCAGCACATTCGAAGTTAGTCAAGAAAAGTAGTAGAAGCACTTGTATTTAGGGATACCACCATGCAGCTACTGTCAGATTCTTTGTTGAAGCACCTCTGTTGATATAAATGTTCTGTCCATTCTGGTTTGGTAATACTGTGTTTCTACAACAGTGTGCACAGCAGAAAACTAAATTAAAAAAGAAAAAGGAGGATGCTTTTTGCAATATACAGAGGTTATATTCAGCCTAAAAAGGCAATACAAATTGACTAAGATTTCCTGTGGAGAACCTTTTACTGATTTTGGAACTGATTTTAGTGATAAAATACTTTTTAAATTCTTTGAGTGTTCTACACATTCAAAGTGTAGACTTTGAAAGACTACCAACAAGGCAAAACCACAGCTACTGCCAACAATGTCCATGTTACCACAATCCACTACTTCTGTAGTCTCATCACATGAAATAATATATTAACAGTATTTGAACCTACAGGTCCAAATACAGGAAAGAGTTAGCAATATGACATCATTAATAGGTTTAGCTAATATTATAAATCATTGTTTTCTGGCCCAGACTGGACAAATGCTCACTGCTTAGTAAAATGCAGTAAAATGCTTGGGTTACCATGGTTACATGGCGAGAAGTGGAGGCAATTTGAAAAAAATAATCAATTGAAACCGTTCATGCAGCAGTCCCAAATAGCTATTTTCACAAAAGTGGCAGCTCTCCACATTACATTACATATATTCAGCTTTTATCCAAAGGGACTTACAATAGGTGAGTTTTAATCATGTGGATACCATCCGAACATAGTGAGAATCATTAAAGTACATCAACGTCATCAAATATGCTGAACTGCCTAAAGTGCTACATTTGGAAAAGGCTGTGTTTAGACCGACATCAGCACTGCCTGAAAAAACACAACCCCCTCATTCATTTCAACGACACCACCGCACTGATACAGTGGAGCTCCTCATGCAGAGGGCTCCAGCAAAAACAAGCTAGCTAGTTAGATCTGTAACGCCATCCAGCAACTCACTGAGTCGGCCAATTCTTGGTAGATTTCTTTGTAACGTGAACAGTGTAATTGTACTGTTTGGTATTTCAGAAGTCCTACTGATAAAGCCTGACATCATACATAGTATTTCAGATTGTTATGTGACCCCAACTTACATTACAGTTTTTTTGGATTGCTTACACACTAAAATTAAAAGTAGTACACTATTAGCAAAACCTTACACTCAAGAAGCAAAACATCAGCCCATATTTGCACAACTATAAGTACACTGTCAACCTCACACTTGTTGCAAAACTCTACACACAGTGATTTGCAAAACACTAAACACACTTATCATACATTACACACACAAATCTATCATGAAGTCACTTCCTTGCAATACCAAAGCACTGACTGTCAAATTACCGCACCGTCCAACCAATTGGTTCAACACAGTCATCAGGTGTGCAAACACTTGTTTGCTTAATTGTAGACACACCAATCAGGTGTATAAGCACTATAAAAAGCAGCAGGTGAGTTCATTGGTCTTCAAGCACAATGGAAAGAGTCAGAGACAAGAAGACAGAAGAAGTCAAGAGACAAGACAAGGAGGTGCTCAAAGAGGACCGAATCTGACAAATGAGATCCGCACAACACTGGTCGACCACGTTGTCAACAACGGCCTGACGCTGAGGGAGGCTGGACTGCAAGTACAGCCAAATCTAAGCCAATACACAGTGGCAAGTGTGATAAGAACATTTCGACATGAAAATAGCTTTTGTAAAAATATCATCATATCAAAAACATCTGCACGGTTTCAGTAACTGCTTACAGTACAGTATTCTATGCACTATCAGCACTTCTGTTACCTTTTCCTGTGAAATTACTGTACTATTGTATACTGTTTTTATTTTTCTACATAGGATTGAGGGTCAGGAACGACAAGGGGGAAGGCCTCCTATGTTCACAGAACAGCAAGAGAGGGAGATAGTAAACATGGTTTTGGCCAACAATGCTATAACACTCAATCAGCTCCAAGCTAACATTGTCAATAAGTTTCAACGATATCCATCAGGTCTCAACATCAACACTGGCACGCATCCTAAAAAAAAACCATATTCAAATGAAGCAAATTTATCGAGTGCCTTTCGAGTGCAATTCCGAAAGGGTGAAACGAATGCGGAATGAATATGCAGAGGTATGTATTCACTTTAGCAGTGTGATCTTGCATACAGTCTCGTAATCTTTTACTGTACTGTAATATGTATACTAGATCTACACTGAACTACACAATTTTGCCTGACACTGTTCTTCAGAGAGTTTTACAAATGGATGGAGAGGAGATCCAGCATGAGTTCATTTACGTAGATGAGGCTGGGTTCAACCTGACGAGAACACGAAGGAGGGGAAGAAACATCATTGGCCACAGGGCAACGTGGGGTTAATATAACACTCTGTGCAGCCATTACACAGAATGGGGACCTCCACCGCCATGCCCATATGGGCCCTTACAACACAGCACTCATACTTACATTCTTGGACCGATTGCACAACATAACAGCAGCAAATCAAATCGATCATATGCAATACATTGTTGTCTGGGACAAAGTGTCTTTCCACCGCTCTGCTCTGGTTCAGAACTGGTTTCAGCAACATCCACATTTCACCGTCCTATATCTTCCACCATACTCTCCATTCCTCAACCCTATAGAAGAGTTTTTCTCGGCATGGCAGTGGAAGGTAAAGGATCTCCGTCTCCAGGCTGAGGTACCCCTCATCCAAGCCGTGGAGGAGGCCTGTGACCAGATGGAGATAGCGGCAATGCAAGGATGGATTCGTCATTCAAGACGTTTCTTGAAACATTGCCTGCGATGTTGATTTTTTTACAGTAAACTTACAGTACACTACGTAAAGTGACATTTTGTTACAGTATTATGAATCTCCATGTCAACATTTTGGGCGTTGAGAAATAAATGAGTTTCTTCAGTCTGCAACATTGGTCTTGTGTAGTGTTTGGTGAGTTTACATTATATTTGTACTTTGTTGATGGTAGCCTACTCTAATCATAGGGCAGTAGAAGTGCTAAAAGTGTTTTAGGTTTATCACAGCAGAGTGTAACTCGTGCAAACAGAGTATAGTAATGTGAAACGTGTGGTGAAAAGTGTGGTTTTTAAACAGAAGTGTATAGTTTTTACAAGAGTGTTTAATTATGCAAAGCATCTGTAGTGTTTTGCTATTTGGGTGTGTGGTTGTGCTAATTGTGTCTAGTGTTTTGAAAACACGGGCCCTGTTTTGAAAATCGTGCTTAAGCAATCCAAAAAAACTGTAAAATGTATTTATGACTGTGTGCTGAGGACCAAGTTGAGACATTAGTTAAAATCCAAATACACTGGGACTAACTGCATTTCTTGTGTGTATGTGGCATAATGGTGTCAAAGTGGACAAACATTAACATCATTCTCCAAATTCCACAACAAGTCAACAGGAAGTGCAGCATACTGTACAGCAGTATCATCCCCATCTGTTAAATGGCGTCTTTTCTCTTCTGTCCTCATTCTAGACTTCTTTCTTTCCCTGCTGATGTCTTAGGAGCTGTATCATCACTTCACCTCTGCTTCTTCAGACATGCATAATAAAGTCTTTGCTTTCTCTGTCCTTTTTGTTGTTAATCTCTCTTCTTGGTCTCAGTCTAGTAACCCACCCCGAGGACTTTTTTCATGTGCTCATACACCACGTAGGACATACTGACAGCTGGAATGACTTTTAGGAAGTTGGGGGTGATGCCGCGATAAAGGCCCGGTACACCTTCATGAGATATGATGTATTTGAATTGGCCCACCATGGTCAGCTTGGGTTTACCCTCAGTGATGGCTGAAAGAAGAGGAACAATGTAGGTTACAGAGGCTCTTTTAAGAAGATCTATTGCTGGATCATTGTTCATGCTCACAATGTTTAGAATATGTCTGAAGCTACAGTTTTTCTCACCTTGTGCCTGCATACGTGTCCGAATGAGAGCGAGGGGGTAGGACGCCAGCTGGCCGCAGGTGCTGGAGATTGTGCCACAGCCGAGCAGGACCAAAACTCCTGGATCTGCTGAATGTGCACAGTTCCTCTGGAGCCAGGCGTTCTTCAGAGTCTTAAACATGCACAGTTAGAAAGAGTTTAGAAAATAAATGAGAAGAGTGGAGGAAAGTAGGGTTACAAGAGGTAAGAAGAAAAAAAAAAGGAAAGTGGACAGATCGTCGTTTATTTAAAAGTGTCAGAACTGGAAAGATTTACAGCTAATCTGTGAGCTTCCAACGAATCTGTCATTGCTGGAATGTTACTCATCAGTCACAGTACACATTATATCTGGCAGAGTGATTAGCACAGTCAGCTTCAAGGTGACAGCAGTGCCAGCCAACTGCCACATAAACTTCCATTTAAACTGAGACCACAATTTTCATGAGAGAGGCGGCTCTAACCTGCTGTAATTCACATATTTTTGACACCACGCACACAAATCTCACACAGCTTCTTCAGCAGGGTCTCCTCTCTCTTACAGTAACTTAGGCGATAGGAGTTGCAGTCTTTGAACTATTCATATTCCTTCCTACACTTTTTTATATTCATTCATACTTTCAGCTAGAAATACCATTCAAACTTTTAAACATTGTGGTATTATTCAACTTTCAAATCTCATTCAAACTTTTAATAAAATCTACTTTCTTTGAAGCTTAGTTAAAATGGAAGTCAATTAGTAAACCCCACTCTCACTCATCCTCAACCTCAACACAAACAATCATTCATTTACAGTTTTCACAATAAATGCCCCAATGTATGTTAACAGGAAACCGGTGGACCTAGTTTTCAAAATAAAAGCCAATGATCACTGTATGTTAACAGGAAACTAGTGATTGACCTAGTTTTTCAAAATTCAAAAAGTCCCAGACAGTAACTGCATCTTAACTGGAAAATTAGGTTGAGGTGGTTGTAATGGGATGGCCAAGGATAAAGGCTGGATTTTCAAAATAAGTAATTCATTTCCAATTTCTGCATTTTAAGCAATGCTCTGCAATTTATTCTTCTGAATGTTTTTCAGTTGATTACTACTTCTGCATATTTCAAGCTACAGAAACATTCAAACGTTAAAACTTGTTTTTTGAGGACATTTATGCTTCCAATCAACTTTTTAAATACTTTTTATGCTAAAATATTATTATAATATTTTTTGTATTACAACAGAAGTTAAAACCTTTGACAATATTATAGTTTAACTTCCAGCTTTTCTAGAAATGTGTTTCAGCGCTTAGCTTCCAATTTTCTAGCTGTTAGATTTCTAGCTAAACTAAAACTAAACTAAATTGCTAAACTGCAAGTTTAGGTGCATTACCACTACCCTCTAGATTGAAGTAGAGCCGACCCTGATAGCCAGGACAACCAGGACAGATTTGGCCAACAGAGATGCATATCTTTGGATAAGTGTAAATTAACTGTCTGAAATTCTGTCTGGGTTTTATTCAGATATGAGAAACATGAACTGGCAAACTTTTCCATAGAGCTCATTGTTGTTCAAAAAGCGATTCAAAAGACATCAGTGTTCCTTCATGACAAACACACACACTGTAGTTTAACTAAATTACCTACTACCCAATTACCTAAAAATGTTATTTTTCCTGGTTCAATTCACAGACCGTCAATAGTTATCTTGTATGATTTCCACTACAGCTCACTTACATAATTGTGGAAGAGTGGCTGAACATGTAAAAACACATGTACACACCTCATACACAGCCAAGTCAATACCAGCATAGGGGATGATGCCCAGTGTATTTGGCAGGTAGCCCCTGTAGAAGGCCCGAATTCCCTCCGTCTTCAGGATCTTTCTGGCACAATCAGCCATACCGGAGTATTGTCCTGTCTTCCTCAATGTAAGACGAGTCTTCAGCACCTACCCAACAGAGGGGGACAGGCAAAAGTTGAAGAAGGTAGAAGAATTCAGTGAATAGTTAAGAGTGAGGGCAGATAGGAAAAATCTATTATTCTTCAGTTGGACAAAGGAGATAGAAGTAGCTTTTGTATTATTTTAAATACAAAGAACTAGCATCAAGAGGCCATTTTCCATCCATCCATTTTCTGCTGCTTATCTGGGGCTGGGTCATGGTAATCATTGCTCTAGTTAGCTATGTCTTCCAGCTTCTTCCACATCTTTCTGGGATGTTGTGTAACCCCTACATTGTGTTACGGGTACCCCAGGGTCTTCTTCCAGTTGGACATCCTCAGAAAAACTGCAGATGCCTCAACTCTAAACATCAAGTTCTACTCTGAGCTCCTGTCAGATGTCCAGGCTCCTCACCCTCTCCCTGAAGGTGAGCCCAGCCACACAGCAAAAGAGACTCATTTTGGCCCCTTGTATCTGCAATCTCATTCTTTTGGTCACTAACGGGAGCCGATGAGCATTGGTGATGGAATGTAAATCTACTGGTAAATTAAGAAGTTCACCTTCTGCTATCAATGCCCTTTTATGTTTACCTTAGACATTTTGTTTTCTTTTGTTGATTCTTATGATGGGTTCTGTTTCATCTAGAGCTGAGCTCAGGGCACTGCTACCAAAGCTCCACCATGTAAGACATCAATGTCCCGATCATTCACACATTCCTGATAGGGTTAACTAAGGTTTGTGCAGGGACTATGCTTGTTTTAGTCTTCCGACCACTCAAAGCGCTTTACACTACATGTCACATTCACCCATTCACACACATTCATACACTGATAACAGTGGCTGCCATGCAAGTGCCAACTGCACATCGGAAAGGAGCTAATCATTCGCACACATTCATACACTGATGGCCTTCAGGAGCACATTGGGTTCAGGATCTTGCCCAAGGACACTAGAGGAGCCAGGGATCGGAAGTGGACTGCCTGCTCTACCTCATGAACCACTGGGAAGAGATAACCATGTAAATAAAATGACCAAATCAGAAAGCTATCCTATTCACAAGCCCTGCACAGTAAGTGGACACCTGATTGGCCCCAATGCTAAACTTAAAGCAGCTCAGGACATCTTTAATGAGAAGTGGTGCATGGGTGCCAGCCTTGGTTAATGAGTCTTAGAGCTGAAGAATGAAACGATGCTTGGATTTTCTCAGAAACAGGTACTTGTTTTTTATAGTGCTCTTTTAGAGGAACTTGTCTGCACCAGAACTTGGTTTGCATTCATTTCAAACTGAATAAAATAAAAACTGTGTTTAGCACCAGGAACAGTGAAAAGAAATTTAATGTGAACCTTGCAATCACACAAATTTCCAACTGACCTCCATGGGATAGATGATGGTCTGGGCAATAGCTCCTGCCAGAGAGCCAGCAATGAACCTCTCTTGTACCCTTAAACTGCCCCCCTCTTTACTGCCTCGGATCAGCCACTTGATCTGGCGTAAGAGAAGGAACAGGAAGAAGCGAAGGCATAAAGCATTGATGAAGATGTTGAGAAGGCACAGAAGAGTGGAAGTAATATGATGCAGCTTGAGAGAAAAGAAGTGCAAATGTATACACAGAATTGAGAATGATGCAGAATTTATTCACTTTATTTGACGCTCCAACATGACTCTTTATGGCATGGTGTTGCCCTCAGGCAACAAACCAGTACTTTGGCCCGCTTTTGTAAGTAAAATATCATATTACAAGTCTGATGATAAGTCTGTGACCAACGAAATTTGAGATTGGCGTGGGTTTGACCTTTCACCGTGGGGTGGAACAGTCCTTTTTGGAACCATTGCCGACTTGGACACACTGTTAGCACAAGGTAAGATAAATTTCACTTTTTATTATGTTTAAATTTAAATAACTTTGTATAAATAATATATGTGATGTGCATGAATATGTGAAGAAGCATATTTGATTGAGTATCCAAATAAGTTTAAGTCAAGGGCAAGATCTGATTGAGTAAAGACACTTTTAGTCTTTATTTATATAGTAAAACGGTATTTTTTCATTCGTTGCCTCAGGGCAACATTGTGCAGTTAGACCACTTTTGTTTGAACAATAACATTATCACCATAATATTTTATTTTGCTTTACTATCTACTATTACAGGAAATGTATGCACAAACATTTTACTGGTGTAAGAAACATCGGGCAGTTAAGCTTCTTCCTTCCGACAGTGAGGGCAGTGAGCTTGAGGAGAGTGACAGTGAGGAAGAGTGGACCCCAGAATCAGGTTTGAGGGAGACTTAGGCGATCAGGGTTCAGTTAGTAGAGTAACATACTGTATGTAATGAACGTGTGTGTGTGTGTGTGTGTGTGTGGACATCAGTGGGTGAAGAGAGGAATGTGACCTGCGCTTCCTGGTTGTTTTTTTACTATCTGGTGACAATGAGTCCGTGGATGTAGAGGGAAATGAAGATGATGATGATGTTTCTGAGGAAGATGTTCCACGTGTACCCCGGTGGAGAGCACACACTGCAGCTAATTCCTAACCCACTGATTGACAAACCATTTGCTGATGATTGTTAAAATAAAACGTGATGAAATTGTTGTTGTTGAAATAAAACTTCTTCTAATGTATTGCTTGTTTGTTCCTCATTACACTTATTATATAATATAGAAAACCTTAGCGTTTTACTACCTTCATAGCATCTTGTTCCCCTGAGGCAACAAACCAAAATCTGGTAGTTGGGGTGGGGGGGCACATTTTCTGACTGATATATTATCAGGGACCCCCAAGCTCCCAAAAACTAAGGTGAAATATTTTTTTCCTCCTAAAATAAAAATTCATGCCATAGAGGGTTAAGCAAACACTTAGCAAGCTTGCAGAGAGATCGTCTCTTTGCCACTGACTGATCGGAGTGCACTGACCTGTTCATAGGCCATAAACTTAATGGCAGATTCAGGTGCAATCTTGAGGACATTAATGCCATTTCCCCTCCAGAGTGAGATGACGCCTCCCTCCTGGACCATCCCTCTCAGTCCAGACCACAGATTAATCCCCCGAGACGTAGAGCCGTGTACCTGGACACACAAACTCTGCCAGGTCAGTCATCTTATTACAACCTGTATGAAGTTTGAAATGGTACTGTAGGCTAGTGTGCACATAGAGACACACTGGATATTCATCTGGGTGTAAACCTTTAATCAGTGATCAGTAATGTTTAACTGGCAGAAAATGACCATAATAAATCAGTAGGAAGTTTCCAAGTGCTGCTGATCAATGCCAGTCAGTCCTTTGTTACATAAGTAGCTGCTGACATTTCAAGCTTTCAACACAGGCTGAGCCAACCTTGCTTTGAGTTTTTTGCTAAAAAAGGCAACCCACCTGTTTTGTTTCATTTTTGTAAGTCAGTGAATATCATTGCGTGTGTGAGCTCCAGACTCTGAAAGATAGCCATATGTGGATGTTTCTCCAACATTATATTCACTAACAGCTGATATCTGACAGCTTACAGTGAAACGACCAACCTGCAGGAAGACTTTCAGGCGGTCCAGAGGAGCAGTTCCTGTCCGGGACACAGCTCCTGCCATAGCTCCAGCAACCAGCTGCCTCCACACCAGACCTGTCCGCCGCTCCTGCTCTGAAAACTCATCTGGTACCGTCAGATGTTCCCCAATGTCAAACATCTATAACAACATAGGAAAATATAGTTATATATAGCACGCTGCAGTTTGCAGGTTCATACCCTTTTGCAGGTTCATACCCTTTTGCGCTAAGCAAAATAGGTTTACATTGTTATAAGACATATCCTGCAAGACACGCAATTTTTGTAAGTGGGCGATTTGAAAGAAACTTTCAGGGTATGTTTAAGGTAATTATGTGGACATATCCTTGATGTTTTGTGATGATTGCACAAACAATTTCTGATTTGTAGTCAGATTTTTGCATTTGTAGCGCATCTGTGCATACAGTTCACATCCAACACTAAAGTGTGTTCCAAGCACTGTAGCAGTGAGTGTTTTGTGTAGCATGAAGAGGTTGAGGTCGGGTGAAGAAACAGTAACATGGTTAACAATACATTTCAACCATGATTACATCCAGTGTGTTAAATTTCCAGGGTTAAATAAATGTGTCCAAAATGTGCATTGATATTTCAAAGTTCATTTATGCCTAGCGTATCGTGTTAGCTAGGAAATGGTTGAATGCTAATGTTAGCTGTTGTCTAAAGGTAGTTACTGGGTCATAAAATATGTTGTTTTAACTTGAAATATTTTTTGGAAAACAACGGTGCTGAAGGCAAGAAGTAGCAGACAGCAAGCCCCCACGTGAGCACCAAGAAGAAGACCTCATAAGTCCCCAAAGAACTGAGCCAAGCACAGCATAGAGCAAGGAACCAGCCTTAAGGGGACACATGGCGCAAATTGGACGTGGACTTGACCAAGATACTGGATGGGTCATTGTGAGGAGGAGCAGAGTCCAAGCTTAACCTGTTTGATGACATCCTATACCAGAAGTGCAGAGACAGGTTTGGCGAAGTCACCATCAACCTGCTCTGAGACTGAAGGGAAAGAAAGAAAAGGAGATCAGCCAGCTGGTGCAAAGGCAACGGCAACTCCGCAAAAAGTGGAGGAAGGCAACTCGGGCAGAGAAAGAGGACGTGAAAGCCCCGTAGGAGGAGGTCAGCTTGCCAGCCTTCCCATAGCTGAACGCACCCTTTCAACATGCCAGCCAGCTGCTGGAGGAAAAAAGAGTGGGAGGCTGGAAATCACCAGGGACTAGCTGGAACAACACATCAGGAGGCAGTACAGCGATCCAACAGGGAACGTCCCATTAGGAACACCAGGGCATGTGCCTCGGACATCCAAGTTCAACGCCATGCCCCCCAAGCGCAGTGAAGTCAGCGGTCTTCATCCCCAAGGAAGAGATCTTCTTCTCGGTACTGGCATGAAGGATGACCGGACCGAGAAAACACCAAATTCTGTCTGAGCAACCCGTCAAACGCCTAAGGCGACAGTACACAGCAGAGCTCTCTGACTAACAGATGGGGAAAACTGTGGTGAAGCAGCTCTCAGAAGGCCTGGCAAGGATCGACTAAAGCCAGCTCCCGGGGAAGTACATGGTGTGGTGCTACCAGTTCACACTCTACAGGAGGCTGAAAATGAGAAAAATTCTCTCATCCATGGCAAGTAAGATGGACAGAGTATATGTGTAATGTATTGTGTTTTCTTATTGGGTTGTATTTTGATGTTTTTCCATTTGTGTTGTGTTGCGATCTATTTGCATGTGGTCTCTTGAGTTGCAGTACGTTGGCTACAGATGGCGCCGCGATCAGGTCCGGAGCAAGTTGGCTGACGTGCTCGAGGGACAGACGCAGAAAAGCAGAGGATGCTAACCGCCGGTGGAACACCACATCCAGTTTGTCAGGCAGGTAGGAGGAAGTAGTAGAAGCACCAGGCTAAGAGAAACACTAAAGCTCTTTTCCCCCGATCAGGAGTGTGAATATGAGAGTTGATCTCTGCAGGCAGCTCCAGTTCCCTGGCGAGATCACATCACTCCGGCCTGACATTGTAGTGTGGTCCACTAAGGCAAGAGCTGTACTCCTCATTAAGCTTACAGTACCATGGGAGGAGGGGCTACCTTCAAACAAAAAAAATCCAAGTACTCAGAACTGGCTGCTGAGTGCAGGGAGGCCGGCTGGTGGACCAACATCTACCCAATGGAGGTCAGATGCTGAGGCTTTGTGGGGCTGTCAACCACATGCCTGCTGAGGGACGCAGGAGTGACAGGAGGAAAGCTGTGGAAGGCAACAAAAGAACTGGCAGAGGAGGTGGAGAAGGGAAGCTTTTGGCTGTGGCAGAGGAGGAAGGACAAGTGGTGGGGAAAGAACATCTGAGCCAGACTCCAGCTGCAGAAGGTGGCAGGGAGACGTTCAAACTATTACAAGTCAGTGTTACATCAAAATGATTTGTTTATTTTATGATACAAAGTTGTTATTTGAAGATAAAATTTCTACATAATGTGGCTTTAATACACACTTACTTTCACATGAGGATTTTGTAAATTAATATTAGTTTTTTTTACAGCAAATAGATATTTTTTCATGAATTTAAAGAAAAGATTGGATGTATTCCACACCACTAACACAATCTATCTTGATAGTAAAATTCTGGATGATCACACTGACTACGTGTGTTCTCTCTTATCTGTCCCTTCCTGTTTTGTTTTGTTACGCTACATATGTCCTGCTCCTGTTCTCAGAGGTGTAAAGAATGTAAATACTGTTAGAATGTTTTCACTGTGGAACCTGGTGACTCACATGGGAGTGTTTCCAGTAGTGGATGATCTCCTCCATGTTGTGAAAAGGGTTGAACAGGAAGTGATCACGCCATTCAATCCAGTCAATGGTCATAGTGCCATCCTTGTCCATACTGACAGAGACAGACCCACCAGAAAATTAGAACACATACTGTATAGATTATGGCATCTGCTAACAGTGCTGTAAACAGGTGCTGCAAATTCTCACTAAATAAATCTCCAATGTTCACGAACAAAACAAACCTTTGATGTCATGGTAGATGTAGTGTGGTAAATTTCAGAATTGAATCTCGAAAACTCAATTATTATTATTTTTTACAGTATGTTGAATAATATACTCATGTCTATCTTGTTCTATTTCATTCTTTTCTAATGCAATATATTTTTGTATTTCATTGTACTTTTTGTATGCACTTTGGCACTTTGAACATTAATCCCTGATATACTCCAACTACTCCACAGGATGTTCACACTACCTTTGTCAAACCAGAGGCCCTTTTCTTTTGTTGTTTGTCATCAGTGTAAACCTGCATCAGGGTACTGGGCCTGCAGTGCAGACAGGGGTCCATCCTTGTTACCCTAATGTTCAAGGTCTATTTATCTGACTTCCGTTGTGTGTCCAACTCCAACTTCATGATAAAACAATAGGCTTACAAATGTATGTGTTTTTCTCTTATTAAAGACACTTTTCACTTATTCTGACTAATTACATGACTTCTCAGGTTGTAGTTGGCTCATACTGAAATCATGTGAGGTCACCAAAAGATTTAATCTTTTATATGTTATATGGATGCATGAAGAAATATGTTTTCTTTAATTTGCCAAAAAGTCATTCAAAGACATTATTTATGTTTAGGAACTCCAGAGAGGTCAAACTCCCTGTTGAATGCATTATTTAATCATGTTTTACAGCTGGAGTCTGGACTTCCGAAACATGTCATCATTCAAAACCATATTTATAATGAATTATCATCAAATTTGGAAAAGTATGAAACTGATAATAAATATAAAAAACTAACACACACAGACAGACACACACACTGTACCTCTGCAGTATTCTGGAGGCCTGCTCCATGGTAACCTTCACTCCAAGCTTGTACAGTGAGTGCTGGATCTCTCCCACATCAATTTGACCTACAAAACAGAACAGAAAGCGCTCACACCTCCTTAAACAGCAGTCTGTTTGTTTAGCCAACAGAAAGATAATATCAAATGTATTTTATGTGTGTGTCTGTGTGTTGGGGGGGGGGGTTGTTTAGCGTGCCCACACCATCGTTGTTGCGGTCAAGACTGTGGAACATGAGCCGCAGCCTTTTCTCATGCGCCCGCAGGTACTGAGAGAACTCCTGGAAGTCCAGCAAACCGTCATGGTTGATGTCGCTCTCGAGGACTATCTGCGGACAGAGGGAGCCTGTCAGTCATTCAGCAGGGAGTACAGGCGTGTGAAAATGGGATGGAGCAGGTAGAGATGCTGGAGTATCTGAAGTATGAGCCAGTCCTCATCTCACGGTGTTTGACACATAAGGTACCCTTCAGTGTCTGTATGAGACCCTGGACTTTCAAGTAACTCCAATCCTTATTTCAACGAAGAACACAAACTTTTCCTAAACCCAACCAAGTAGTTTTGTGCCTAAACCTAAACAAAACCGTCTTCTTCTAAACCTAAAGGCGTTTCATACAGACGCTGAAGACCACACATTTATTAAAAATAGGGTTTTATTTTAGAAGTATGGCCTGTTTTTTTTTTTTTTTTACTGTTTTTCTTGTTGCTGCAACCTTTCTCAGTGCACTTGATTGTGGTGTACACCGGATGAAAGACTTGGAACTACACGCTAAAAATTGATGTCACTGCTTTTAATGCTTTTTTAAATTCCTTTGGTTGTTGCGGGTGTGTCTGGTGTTCTAATCTGTAACTCTGTAACTCTGCTATGTCAACATGCTGCTATTTTGTCCAGGAAAAAAGGTTTTCAAATCTCCCTGCGATGGACTGGCGACCTGTCCAGGGTGTAACCCACCTTTCGCCCAATGTCAGTTGGGATTGGCTCCACCCCCCTGCGACACTGTACGCAGTATAAGCGGTTGACGGTGTAATATGGGTGCTGAAGGGTACTTTGTGCGTCAAAGAGTCTGTATTTGACGCCCTGAGATGAGAATGTGTTTGCGTAGGTGCTTTAAGTCTTCATCACCCACAAAATGTAACAGATCAGTGTAATCTTTGCATGGTTATTTTATACATTTTAGATTGATTGATCTTTTATCTGTGTAATTGCCTTTTTTTTTTAAGTGTACAGAGTGTTTTTACACTCAAAATAAACTTAGTTAGTGAATCAGTAATTTCTAAATTTACAGTATCATGCATTCTTACACTTAATTTGCACTTAATTTGAATGCGTTGACTGAAAATCAAGCAGCTGGATACTTTCTCAAGTTTTTCTAGCACTAGTTCACTTAGTTCTTTGAGAAAATGTAAAATGTATCGGAAATGATGAGGAATTTATTTGGAGACTTAGACCCTGTAAAATAAAGCATTACCAAAACCCAAAGATGTATGGGATTCGACCCCTTTCAGGACCCATGGTATGAACCAGGGAACAACTTTACAGGTGAGACTCAATAATCTAACCAACCTCAGGCTCTGCATTAATCACATCAAAAGCTATTGTTTGATGGACATTTCAATACGCAGTAAAAGAAACCTGTAGAGCAATGTAAGTCAAAGGTCTGCGTGCAGGTGCCTCTGCAACAAACATTCTCTTGCAATAACACATGGTGAACTGACACCTGATGATAGGGCCTTCAGAGCTGAAATTACAAGTACTAGAGTTCTGGTGGCCTCGTGTTTAAGATGCATGCCAAATTACTGCAGCATTCCTGGTTCAGTTCTGGTTTGTGCACGGCATCCCCTCTCTCTTCCTCCATAATTTCTGTCTGCACCTCTACTGTAGCCTATACAATGAAGACAATATACCGACAAAAGGGGAACAATGTGTGCAATTTAACAAACTATAATAATACCAACATTCTTCTTAGAGACTGACAACTGATGAAACATAGTTCTGTAATGGGTTGAGTTATCGGTCACATTTATTTCTCTATTTGTTACCATGATACCTAAAAACCTGTCAGCAGACTTCAGTGATCTCTGGCAGATGGATGGCCTACACAGCAAGGAACAACTGATTAGGTTTTGGTGCAGATCCAGAATTTCTTTGTAATTTGTAGCAATCTGTCACAAGTGCCTCCATTTATTAGATCTATTTTAAATGGAGTCTTAAGCCTCTTAATCCTAAGATGTATACTGTAAATGTCCTGAAGCTGGAGTGCACCTTTACTTTGAAGTGAGAGGACTGTGTTCAGCTGATTACCCTGTGCCACTGTGCATGTTTTTGTATTTCTTAACTTGTGAGCAGCAGGTAGACTGTTACGCTTTGGGAATGAGGACACTACTGTGAAATTAATTAAGTTTGGCTGGCCCTCATTTTTCCAGGGGGTTCATGCATAATTATCCCCTCACTATATTCACCAACACAGTTTAAGGTTTTCTGCAGACCCAGCACCTCTGATGAGAAGCAAAGTGGTGGCAGATCAGAAAATACTTTCTCATTACAATATTTTACTGTTTAGGTTGGAGAATTTGTTGAATATAGCCTGGTTAGATCTCTGAATTGGTGCCAAACTTCTAATAATTTTAAGAATGTTCTACAGTGCCGACCTAGGAGTAAAAAGGTTAGTAACTCAGTGTGAAGAATAACACAACATATCATCATATAGCAACTTACTCCCAGTGACAGTGAAGGAGGAGCTCTCAAGTCATTGTGATTGATCATGTATGCTCAGAGCAACAGCCAATCAGAGTCAAGGATATTGTTGATTTTTTTTTTATTCTTACATTTTACTTGTGTGGAATCCTTCACTAGCAATTAACACGTGAACTGAGCAACAATATAGAAATATATTTAATATAATAAGAATGAAAACAAAGTGAGCAGGAAAGAAATCCTGCAGCTAGTAGATGAGGTTCATCGGATGAATCGTATAATGAAAATGTAGTACCACAGCAACAAGTACTGACTGTTGAAGGTGTATGGAAAGTGACATCAAACAAAATAAGTGTTAACTCTATGCTAGTTGTTTGCACCATTGGGAAATGCAAAAAGGTGGAGACACATCAGTCAACTGTTTAAATCAAATGGAAATAACAGGCTAAACTGACCTGGTTCTGTATTATTTATATTGCCTGATACAATGTACACTCACAATTAGGGCTGGGCAATAAAACAATAATGATAATTATCACAATATAATTTTCCTCAATAACATTATAAATAAATGTTCAATTAATGCATGATTTAATTCGTTTGAATGACTTAATTTTTCTATTAAGATATTTATTTTGTTAGGAAAAAGGACTGAAATATTTGACTTAATTTTACTCATGCATAATTGTTGACAAAATATTTTATCACAATTGTTTTCAATGTTCAGTTCTCCTCCTCCTATCTCTAAACAAACCTTTCTGTCAAAAACCCTTGAAAAGATAGTTTGCAGACAATTAATGGTCTTCTTGGATGAGCACAATATTCTTGAAGTATTCCAATCTGGTTTTGAAACCCTACATAGCACAGAATCAGCCCTTCTAAAAGTTTTTAATGATATCCTTTTAGCTACTGACTTAGGGAATTGTGTTATTCTTGTGCTTCTTGATCTGACTGCTGCCTTTGACACAGCGGACCATGAAATCCTGATCTCTCGTTTGGAGTGGTGGGTTGGCATCAAGGACATTGCACTGAAATTGTTCAGGTCCTACTTGGAAGGTAGAACTTTCTGTGTCAGCTGTGGAGAGTCTGTGTCCTCTTCTGCGCCTCTCTCTTGTGGGGTCCCACAGGGCTCAATATTAGGCCCTCTACTCTCTTTATTTGCTCCCGCTTGGTTCCATACTTAGCAAGCATGGTATGTCATTCCACTGTTATGCAGACGATAGTCAGATCTATGTGCCTCTTAAAAAGAATGAAACTGTTGGACCGTTACTTAAGTGTCTTGACGACATAAAGGCTTGGATGGCTCTTAACTTTTTAAGTCTTAATGAAAGTAAAACAGAAGTGATGTATTTTGGTGGCACTACTGGGACCCCCGGTGTCGGTCTGGGTTCCTTGAGTCAGTACATCAAGCCAACAATCACTAACCTAGGGGTTAAAATTGCTTAAGCTCGACAGACAGATAAGGACAGTCGTAAAAACTTTTTCAATTGAAGCAACTGGCCAAAATAAAGCCATTTCTTTCTAGGCAGCACTTTGAGACAGTAATCCACGCTCGGTTGGATTACTGTAATGCACTGTACTTGGTAGTCAGTGGGTCCTCTATTGCTCATCTCCAGATGGTACAAAACGCTGCAGCGCGTCTTTTAACTGGAACGCATAAATATGAGCACATTTCCTCCATTTTAGCTTCACTCCACTGGCTGCCTGTACATGATAGGATCCATTTTAAGATTATTTTATTTACTTTTAAGTGTCTTAATGGTCTTGTCCCACCCTGCATCTCTGAGCTGCTACACCCCTACAGACCCACCCGTTCTCTCAGGTCAGCCGATCAGCTGCTCCTAAGTGTGACCAAAACTAAGCGCAAGCTCAAAGGGGACCGAGCTTTTGCTGTAGCAGCTCCTAAACTGTGGAACGATCTATCTCTGCACATTAGACAGGCATCTTCACTGTTGGTTTTTAAGTCTCTTCTTAAAACTCATCTCTTTTCCCTGGCCTTTGAAAACTGAAGATGACATTTTTTGTTTTAGTTGTATTGATTTTTGTTTGTTTTATTGTATGGTTGTTATTGTTTTTATTTGTATTTTATAAGTCGTGTGAGCTTTGTTTTTAGTGTCTTTTATGTATTCATTTATTGTTTTACTGTACAGCACTTTGTGCCCACTTGGATTGTAAAGTGCTCTATAAATAAATTTTGATTGAATCATTGATTGAATGTTCTACCTCAGATTTGTGAAGTGATCCACTGTTTGGCCTCAAGTGTTTGTTCTGACCATAAAGAAAAGTTTAAACCCACAATTAACCATCTGGTTTCTTCAACTTTCACTCAGGAGCAAAAATCTGCCTTTAGACTTGAAATAAATAATGATTTGACATTTATTGTGATAATCATCGATAGCAAATGATATAAATTTTAACATTTTTGGCCATATCGCCCAGCCTTACTCACTCATGTCTGCTTTTGTACTGCAGTCACTTAGAAACTACTCCTAACCAATGTGCAGCTTTTACTCTTCAGTGTGTGAGTAGGAGTAAAAGTGAAGGGTTTATATATTTGTTTTAATTCAATCTAAAGTTAACTTTTAGTGAGTTAAAGTGCGTTAACAATCAGAGAACTGTACAGCAGCATAGGTGGGACGTCATCTTCCTGTGTCAGAACCAGAAAAACAGTGACACTGCCACATAAAGGAAAGAAAAACAGTAATATCATAATAATAATATAATAATATCCTACAACGCTGTCTGTCTCACAGCTTCTTACTTCACGTTTGTTGTTGTTGTTTCACTAACAACAACAACAACACCAGTTGTGCTGCATAAAAGAATATTTACTCAGATTGGTGAGAGGTTTCAGGAAGGACAGGAGGAGGGTTAATGAGAGGGATGAGCGGGAGTTCAAGGTATTTTCTTGCTATCTATTATGATTTCCTCTCTGTCTCTGTTCCCGCTTCCAGCTCAATCAGCTTACTCCCAGCGTTCACTCTGAGCCAATCAGATTTTATGAGCCAGTCATCTCGTTGCTGTTCCTTTCTCTGCTCTTCAGTGTTGTATGGCAAGTTCCACACCACTTTCTTTGTGTTCCATTTACAGACCCAGGGCTGAAAACCGGATATAACCGCAGAGCTAGAAATTCATGGGGACATACTCGCTGAATTTAACAAAAAGTGTATTGTACAACAATCACTTACTGTCCCTTTAAGTCTCTCCTGGTTGAAACAGAAGCGGCTCAACATCTAGGCTATTCATTCAATGCATACACATAGTTGGTGGCCTGGATTCAAGAGTTACTGCTACATTAAAAACAGGATATTTACAGAAGAGATATCCGCACAACCAGGGTTCCTACAATAAAGAAAATTCAAATGTACAAATTACCTCTAAATGTCCTTACTGTATTACATAACAGCTGAGCTCAAAATGTAATGTAACAAAAAATGTTTGTACCTTTATGATTCCAAGATGAACGGAAGATGATAACATTTTTTCATTTCTTGTGTTTTCTGTGATCCCATGAGAAATTAAAATTGAGTTGTGAGACATGGCAGATTCCACAAAGTCGTGATTTGACGCTAGCATTCATGGAATCTGCTGCATTTAACTTGTGTTGGGGCATGGAGTTCACAGCAAGCTTTGGCATTCAGGAGGTTGAATTTGTGAAACTATTGTTGCTAGGCTCCTGACAACAAAGTGGATCACTCTATTTCTAATACCTGTTCATGAATTGTACCTCAGGTACCTTGCTTCATTTTAAAACAGTAATTGTTGGATTCTCAGTAGGTCTACATGGCGGAAAAGCAGTGGCTTTATATATTTTTTCCATGTGACTTTTTGAAATCCCAGACACTTGATACACACTGCTGCAATAGTTTTGATCTAAGGTTCAGACTGCAACCTCAAGCTTCTAAACATCAGCTGTGGCTCTTCTAAATTTAACTTGAGGCATAGTGCTGACAGTAAAAGAGATATACTGTACATAACCCCAAGACAAATACCAGGTATTGATTTCCACAGTAGTACTAGACACTTTTGCCACTAGAGAGATGATGATGAATATGAGTAATGAACATCAGGCTGCTCTCCTCTTCATCATCCTCCATACATTAGCCTATTAACAGAGAGGTTGGAGCTGGTTGGAGCTGTATATTATGTTATGTTGTATATTATGTTGAAGCTACATTCTCTGCCACCTCTCTTTAGGCTACATATATATATATTTATATGTAGTTTACATGTTATATTGTAGGCTAGTCCAGTATTAGTTTAGTCAGTAAAGCAGATGGCTGGACAGAGCAGAGGTCCAGCCTGTGTGTGCACCTGTCCCAGCATCAGCCTGGCCCCCTCACCTCCTCTGCCTCTCCCTGGTGTAACCCTCGAGCTGCCAGTCCGGTCCTCAGTTCGTTGATGTCAACCCTCCCATCTTTATTCAAGTCCAGCTGCTTGAACAGCTCCGCGTATCTCCTCTCTCTGTCCGCGTCCAGAGACGCTCCGCTTTCCCCGTCTCCTACGTCTCCTCCGCGGTGAGTCTGGGCGCAGGACCGCTCCACGTCTTCGCCCATGTGAAAGAGAGAAAGCCGGTGTTCTGTACTGGTCGACTGCTAATTTGGCAGCCGAGAATAACACTGTCACAACAGAAATGAGTGTCCTCGTTTACCCAGAGACCGGGTCGCTTCCTCGCACCGTAAGGAGCGCAGGGACGGCAGAAAGGAGAAGAGCGAGCGAGGCTGCGCTGTGGATGTGGCTTAGACGAGCTCTCGTCAGATTAATCCCCGCGTCGGTTACACAGCTTGTTCACAGGCGCCAATCCGTGGACTCACTCAGACGAATTAAAGTTTGTGTCAGAGACGGTCACACCGTCCGTCCACCGGAGAGGCACGGTCTCTAGCTCACCTCAAAATCGACTGCAGCATCTCTTTTTACGTTAAAGCGTGTGGGCGCCGACAGGGACTTAATGGTGCATTCAAGTGCACCCCGTAAACTGAGAAATCTAATCTCGAATGGCCTCGAAGATCGTTTGAAACGGGAAAGCTTCTATTTTTATTCCTCTTATTTTACTTTGTTAAAATACATATAGCCTACCTGTCAGTACCTACTTTCTTGTTCTTTCACTACAGCGTTTTAAAATAATCACATTGCAAAGCAAAACCAACCGCCCATTCATTTTCAAGCTGTTTTACTGCAGCATTTTAAAATAATTAAGTCCTATCCAATGGCATGTAGGTCTATTTCATAAAAAAAATCTAATTAAATTGTTATTAGCAAATTGTTACTGCGTGCCTTTGCTTAATGACGCGATACCACACGCACGCCACCTTCGGCGCGCACGCGCACAACAGTAAGGTGTGAGGGCAGGGACGTGCACAGGAATTTTGAAGGGCAGTTGCTCTGACCTGAAAAAAGGCACTAAACACAGTATCCAAAATGTATTAACAATATAAATGTCACCAAAATACATATGAGAAAAAGAGTTCCTTATATTATTGTTTATTGTTTTTTTTAATCATTATTATTTTTTATTTGAAAATAAATAATCTAGATTGAATTGACAGATGGGGAAAACTCGCTTCTAATAAAATATTAAATAAAAAAAACCGCTTAGATTTCGGAAAAAAATACAATCCTTTTTTAACCTTTTGGCTTCCCGTACATTCAGTTGCGCTTCTAGCTTGTATTCACTTCTGTTGGTACGTATCACGTATGGTAACTGGGCAAAACTACGCATGATTTGTTGTAGTATGATTGCATAAAGGAAGGAAACAGGAATTCCGGTAGGGAACAGAATCGACTGACGTGCAGGCAGCGCTGCAGCAGTGCAGCCACTTAAACAGAGTTTGCCCTTCCCCTACTGACTTTCACTTTCGGTGCCCGAATGGAAGTGAATGAGGCTTTGCGATCGCGATTATTTTTTTATTTTTTTATTTTTTCTCGGAAGGGCGAGTCGGAAGGGCAACTTGAGTCAGGAAAGGCAAACGGGCAGTTGCCCGGGCAACCAGAGCAACCCCCCTGTGCACGTCCCTGTGTGAGGGGCTACTTATCACTTTACTTGGGGCTGCACAAAAGAGTAACTAACAAGTACAGAGTATTTAGTAACTGGGCTACTCACAATTTTGTGTAGGCCTTATTGTAAAGTGTTACAGATTGTTAACCATATTCTTTAATAAGTAGGCCTAGTCATAGAAAATGATATATGTTAATGATGTATGTTAATAAAAAACATATAGGCCTACTGTATTTTACATTATAAATATTTTTACATTACATCAATAATAATGATTTAATAATTTTATAATGATTATAATAATGATGATATTCTTTAGATTGGCGACCTGTCCAAGGTGTACCCCGCCTTTCGCCCTGTACACAGGATAAGGGTTGATGATGGATGGATGGATGGATGGATAATAAGCACTTTTCAATAAATATGTTACAAAGTGCTTTCACAAGAGCAAAGACAAGAAAAAAACTATAAAACAGACACATGGAAAAAGCAGGAAAACACTTAAAATACTGTTAAAAGAAAAATAAATAAATAAAATCAACTAAAAAGATATCTCCTGGTTAAATAAAGGTCAAATAAATAAATAAAATAAAATCAGGAAAGTCTGTCCTATAAAACTAGGTTTTAAGAAGGGACTTAAAAGAGTTCAGTGTCTCAGCCACCCTGATTTCCTCATGCAGGCTGTCCCAGAGCCTCGGGGCCCTTAACCATAAACACTCCTTTAGTTTTCAGTCAAGACCCTGGAACAGACAATTGACCTCTGCCTGAGGATCTCAGGGTGTATGGTGGAGCATATGGGACTAAAAGGTCAGAGATATAAAAGGGTGAGAGGCCATGAAGAGCTTTAAAAGTAATCAATAAAATTTTGAAGTCTATTCTTAAACATAGTGAGAGCCAGTGTAAGGAGGCTGAAACAGGGGTCATGTGATCATATTTCTTTGTCAAAGTTAACATTGATCGTATTTTGATATATTTAATAGTAATAGAACACTGAATGGTCCCATTCTGCATTATGAGTACTTTTGATACTTAAAGATAAATGTTGTTATTTGTTGAAAGCCTATTTAGGTGCTTTTATTTTAAACACAGCTCTTTTACTTGTAGTATTTTTATCATGTGGTATTGCTACTTCAGTAACATTTTACAGAGTTTTATTTTCTTTGTAGTAGTAAAAATAGCACATACATATAATAATAATACAAATAATTTAACTTAAGTGAAAGATCTGAATACTTCATCCACCACTGACGTTGATGTTGTGTTCATATCACTGTGTGAGTGAAATGAACCATTGATAGCTTATTGGCTATTAATAGCAGTAATAATGGGGATTGTGAGCTGTGACGTGCAGCAAAGGATAGTGAAGTGCCTGGTCAGCATTCACAGGATAGGACTGAGAGAGAGCGAGAGAGATGGAGAGATTAAACAGGTCAGTATCATCAGTGTTTTACCCTCAGTAGTCATTGCATTTTTTTTTTTTTTTTTTACAACACTCCAGCTGTTTTTAGATATTTAGGTTCATCAGTAGGAGATGGGGAGGTGTGGACAGACACCAACTAGAGATTTTTTAGAGGAATTCATTTATGGTGGTAAATATACTTACTTGTACAAAATACAGGAATTAAGAAGAAAAAAGTGTGTAATTTACACCAGGCTGAAATGCACTGTTTCACTGACCTCTGGTGGCTGAAAGCTTCTGTCTGAGAAGTGTGCTCTGTTGAGAACTTCAACCACTGGAGGTCAGCAGTGCTGAAGGTTTTCAGTTGGTGCTGCTGTAAGACACTTCATACTGTATGGATGTCAGTCGGATGTCTTTCTGAGTGACTACGGTGCAGCTCATGTTTTGTAGTGAGTGTGTTAATCTCGTATATGAATTGAAAACATCTACACTTGGTTTTTCATATGGTCTTCTCTATTTTTGTGGCCGCATCTTTAATGACTCCTGGGCGGACTGTGATAACTGTGATCTTAGAATTCACAACCCTCTAATCACTGCCACCAGGAAAATAAATGAATGAATAATAAAAACAGGTGACAGGTTATGGGAATGGTAAAAAAAAAAATACTCATGACTAAAATACTAAGTGAAATTGTGATTTATTAAGTCAAAATTATGAGATACCAAGTGAGAACTGACAGGGAAGGATGCAAGGAATATATGCAAGCAGTGATGAATTAGGAAACCCCTCTGGTGAAATGAGACATAATCTGAATGAAATTATTGATGATTCAGGATGACCTGTCAGTGGGCTTTAAATGCTGTGTTGTTTTTGCACATATTGTATAATGTGATGTACTGTCCACACAATAAAATGAGATCCTGGGGTCCCTTACTTCTAGTTTTTGTCATGAAGAGGGGGCTTGTGTCAAAATCTTTCAAGAGTTTTATTTTATCCATTTTGTGCTCTGCCTATATGTTACATATTCCTGAATGAATGTGTATGTGATTAAATAACAGCACTGTAAATCTGGAAAATTAGTCTTGACTTATCATAGAAAAACAGCACATAAGAATGAAGAGGAAGGTTCATGGTTTTATGGGGGCCCAGCAATTCATGTCACAGTGGACATATACCTCTGTGCTGAGATACAAAACTGCACCAGGTAGAGACACAGACGTGGAGGGAAGTGATTATTAAGGGTGGAATTATGGAGGTATGGAAAAGAAAGAAAAGGGGAAATAGTCATCTTAGAAGTTTGAATAAGAGTCAGATAAAACTGTCAAAAGAGCAAAGGCATATGCAAGCCTGACGGCTGCACAGCAGGGCAATGATTGGAAAGTAATTGTCACAGCCAGAGCTGTGGCGCTGAACAGTTTTCTGTTTCTCCTTTTGTTTGTTTGTAGGTGGTGGCTCGTCAGCAGCAGAGTACCTTGCCCCACTTTTGAGCTTTGCCTATCTAGTTTGACTTGTGAGTTTCATGTTGATTTGCTCCCTGTGATTTTCTTTTGTGCGTCATGATCTCTGCCGTCTGCAGCCAAGTTACCACAATACTGCGGTTCCAAGCCTTTGTCATAGCCTGCCTGTCTCTTGCTCACATACAAGTTACTAGCCCTGGACTTTACTTTACTGGTTGTTAATAAAATACTTAACTTCACATGGGTGGGACCAGGGTTTGATTCCCACTGCGATACGTGTGACCAATGTGTCCCCGGGCAAGACACTTAACCCCTAGTTGCTCCAGAGGCGTATGTCCTATGACATATATAGCAATTGTAAGTGCAATTATGATGTGAAAACCAGTGGAGTCCCTGGTATCTGGACACTTGGCATGGGCCCATAATATACAATGTTTTGATAAAATATTGTCAAACCTTTTTAAAATATTGAAGTGCTGATGATCACACCTGCTGCCTACTGTCAGTCAGGAAGTTTGTGATCCACTTACAGGTGAAGGCTGTGAGAGCTGAGATGTGTTGACTGCATCATCCACTGGCCTGTCAGCCTGGTAGGCTAACGGCAGGGGGTCCAGCAAGGGGCCTGTAATATCCTCAGGTGGTCCAACACCAGTCTTTCAAATGACTTTGTGACTACAGATGTCAGGCAACTGGCCTGTAGTCAATTAATTCTGCAATGGAGGGTTTTTAGGAGACCCGGATAATTATGGAGCAATTGAAGCATGAGGGATCTTCTCACAGCACCACTGATCTGTCCTTTGCACTCTGATCACTGCATTTGTCAATATGTCTATATTGTTTTGTTCATAGTGTGTATATTAGTGTTGTCTACTCTGTAGTTTGTGTCTGATTTTATTTTATTATTATTATATTATTATTTTATTATTGTATAAGTAAGCACATGTGAGCAATGTACAATCCTGAGTCAAATTCCTCGTATGTGTACACATACCTGGCAATAAAGCTGATTATGATTCTGATTGCAGATCTTTGCTAAGCTGGTCTCCGCAAGTTTTCCGGCAGGAAGACACTGTCACATTCAGGTATCTTGGTAAACGAGAGAGCAGATACATTGGCAAAAGAAGAAGTAGGC